ATACGTTGCAACGTTGCTTCAGATGATCGATGGTATGAACATCGTCCCAGACCAGACGTACACGCGTTGTAGTTGTATAGACGAGCTGTCAAGTAAAGGTAATGTAGATACCTCAGTGGACGAGTTGGTCAGTAACACTGCTCGATATTTGCAACACCTATGCAGGTAAGTTAAAAAATACCATTTAAATTTCAAGAACAACAAGCCCATTTGGTAAACTACTTCTTTACAAACTTCATCATCAGACAATTACAGTAATATACAGAGGTAAAACGTAAAGCCGACCAAGTTGCTTGATGTTACAAAGGCGATAAAAGTGAACTGCGACTTAATGCGTAAATTACACCTTACGGAGTTTGATTTAAGGTAGCTGACTTATGCGTCTTCCATTTTCGCTAACTATGGAAGCTGGAATGCACTGACTAATTTCTTGTGCGAGCATAAGAAGGGGTTAACTAATCAAATGCGAATTGCCTCGGCCGTGTCAAGTGTAAGGAACCGTTGACCTTTCAATCGGTGCTGGGGAATATTGGTACAGTATTCTAAAGGTATGCTTTAGATTCATCAGATGCTGATTATCGATGATTTGGGATAGAAAGAAAATGTTAATAACTCAATTTTAAAGTGATCAAGACAAGTTGGGCCGTGCTTGTCCACGTCTTTGTACAAGTTCCTTGCCGTTCGACCAATAAACGTTGCACTACAGGCGTACCCAAACTGACAAATTATCTTGGAGTCGGTTAGCATTGGTGAACTGCTCTTGTTTCGTGAACGAATCAGTGGTTCCGTTGAAAATGTGCATTTGACGCGGCTGCTGTGATGGTCGGCTTAATGGCGCCTGAAAATTTCTAGTATACCGCTCAGCAGTTACACCCCCTTTAAAAGTAGTCTTATGAGTGGCTTTTCCTTTGCCACTGTTGACACTGGCACTGACTGAGGTTTATCATGCCAGTTCCTTGGCGTAAATCTGTCAGGGTATCCATTTTCACGCAGTGTATTCTATATGAACATCAGTTCTGCTTCAAGGGTGTCTTCCAAACAGATTCGATGCGCTATCAAGATGGGGAATAATGCTGCGCTTATATCTCAAAGGAACGATACTGTAAAAGTTCTTATCTCAACCGATACAGGTTGTCTTTCTGTAGACTTGTCGATGGGTAGACACATCTGGCCCACTAGTCAACAAGACATCAAGATATGGTAGCCGATTTTCGGTTTCTTTTCCGCAAGTGAACTACAGTGCTGCTTGGGCGGGGTTTCAATGGCCAAGTATTTCGTCAAGCTTGACGCGTTGAGTGGCAACCACAAATGTGTCGTCCATGTAGCGATGGTATCAGTCAAATTATGTACCTCTGACTATATTTTGCTTCGATCCAGCTTTGCCATGAAAATATTCGTCAGCAGCGGGCAGAGGTGTGATCCCATGGCCACACCGTCCTTCTGTCGATGTTAGTTACAATTGAATAGGAACTGAAAATTCCAGGTGTAACGCGAAAATAGGCTTTTCAAGTAGCGAGTAGTTATACACATTTTTATTTCTCACCCCTTTAAATAGTCGCAAATATAAGCTATCGTTGCAATCAGCGGATCTAAAGATGAATCATTAAAAGCAATTACATACCAAAGAATCATTTTGTTCTGGAATCCTAACCATTTGTCGCCCGATCATTCGAAAATACTCTTTAAAGGGTAAGGGCATAACACTTTCTAAACTGCTGGATAAAATACCTCAACAAACGATCCAAAGTATACGGTTAACAAAGGTTACTTTGCTTTGATTTAGTGAAGTGCCATCTTGTAATATGGACCAAATCAGCAGTTTGTATAACATTCTATGGATGGGAAGGTTATTTATCAGCAGGAGATTGTAATTTCACCCACTATCCACATTTACGGAGTTGGTTGTTATGTTGTGTTACTGCTTATACGCCGTCCACTAAGGATCACTGGCCGCTGGTTGGACAATTTATCAGCCAAGATTCAATTTGCCACGTATCTGGAAAAGAAAATTCGGATGCCCCTGGGGCATCGGATGCGATAAACGCACACACGTAGTTAAAACCCAGAGTTTCATCTGCAATCAACTAGGAGGTGTCGACTTAAACATGCGCATTGTATTTCTTAGTAGTGACTCAAAACGCGGCAACTCGAAAACAAACCAACTAACACAGGAATAACTGTTAATGCAACTACAGTTCGATGATTACTATGCTGTTTCCTCCAAAAATCTGAAAAGGCAAGATTACGAACAACGAGCTTGTATCAGAGACAATGAGCGTAAGTGTGAAAGGTATGACAATTGATAGTCAAACTCTACCTACTTCACTACTTAAGGTTAACATACAAACAGTTTATCAAAATTACTGGGAAGGTCGAGAGCTTAAGAACGAGGCGTGTTGCATGCATGATACTACCAAAGCTGAAGTATGGACCAACCGGGCAAAGCACTCTGGAAATTCCACATAGGAGTAGGAAAATAGAAACAACCTATTCACTGCTGTATATTTTAACCCTTTATTCTTTATACCGACCCGTAGCTGAATCATTGAGAACACTTGTTTGCCTCAGGCTGGTGTTCTCTAACCATCATGGAGAGCGTCCCATGTCTTGGCACAAAGAAAACATTCCGCTCTTTAATAGAACTCAGTACTAGGGAATGGAACAATTCGTAACATAGCATCTGAGCTAAGAGGTAAAGGTATAAACGAAAAGTATCAGTCATAATTTTCTTAACAATTTACACACACTTGCTAGTTTACACTTGCCTTGTATACCAACAGCTCAGGCCGAAATAACTGGTGGGTCCCAACTCGCCATTGAGATAACTCACTTTAGGTATTTCTTATCCTATGGAAGTAAGTACCCAGTGTTGTACCGTTTCACATTTTAAAGTGCTTCTCATCCGGTAACGACAGCCGTTTAAACCTTCCACTGAATGAAGAAATAACAGTCGAACAGATGGCATGTTGATCATCTGCGCACCGGACAGGAGAGTGCTTTACTCCAAATCCAAAATTTACAGTAACCTTTCGATTCCGGCTATAATCAACGTAGGCAAACGACCTCGGTTAGCGTGACGCTGTCATTTTGCGAGTCCGTTTACAACGATAATACAATGTTAGCCCTTTATGATTGAAAAACTTTAAATTATGGATTTGCGATTGAGGAACAGATACAACAGGACAGAGGTAGAATAGTTAAAACAAACCTTACGCGCAATAATCTCGGCAGGATAGGTTTTTAATACCATCTACGGCAAGATTCCATCTGAGTAACAGAATAACCTGGACATTTCATCAATTCATATAATCATACTCCAAGATGAACTAGGTCGATATAAGCTTTTAGGAAGTAGACATAGTGACTGCATAGATGACACAAAGTATGGTAAAATGTACCTAGAACCATGTGTATTGCTGGAATTGTGCTAGGTAGGTCATTATCTTACAGTTTTGTAGAAGCTTCACGGCTATGCACAGCGTGGTTAAAGAAGTCGAAATTAATGTCGAGGTTGAGTTAACAAGGGAAACAATTCTGAGCACGGCCGAGGACGTTGGCGTCAACATAGAATGGGTCAGCTCAAAGTAATTACAATTTATGCCGAGTCGAGAGCAGTTGACTGGTGCGAGGGTATCTCATTCCTGTAGTTATCGCGCACCCACATCCCTGACATGCGTTCCGACATGTTTGAGGTCATTACAAAACTTAGCTAACTGCACAGACGCGGACGACTGAAAGGTAAGTGTTCTGACTTATTTGGTGTTTGAAAGAGAAATCGGTTTTCGCCAACTATGACAATGGTGCATATTCTTTGCTTACCTTCCTACATGTAAATAGACTGGTTGGCATGTATAAATAGGCATTCCGTCGGCTCATATGTGCTCCACAACTTTAAAGCTGACGTGTTGAAGTCAATTTAAGGTGGGCTGTTCATGCTCGGTGGGATATCCAATAAAAATCGTATAAGAGAACAGAAATATAGGTGGTGAATACATTTAACTATGTTGTATTTCTTGAAATTGACATTTCGACCACATCCAGCATCCTATTGCCTCCAAGGTGCAAAATCAATGAGACGGTTGTAACTGTATGACCTACTCATCAGTAATCTAAAATTACTAATGTCTTTCCACAATATCTTATTCCATTAGGATGTCAATTTAGAAATTGCACAACCATGCTGCCTTGGGGTGTTTGGAGGAGTCACTGCAACCATACGTTGTATGAATTGCTTTTAGCACACACACTGGATGTCCCCTCCAGTGTTACCTACGACTGCGTAGGCACCTGGTCAAGTGCACAATGTATCTCGGCCGTCTTACCCTGATTCCAAACTTTCAAGTTGGCTCCTTCTGATCGACGACATAATTCACTCTGCGGACTATTCTGGTCGTGTACTCCTGGTCGGTATCCATGATCAATACCAATGGCGTTAAAGTCGTTACGATCGCTGACGTCTTTCCTATAGTTATTCTTATTAAATCGCACAAATAATTCAAATCAGCGACTGTAACCGTTTAACTACATTTACCCTCTCGTTGGGGACCAGGCAAAACAGCCATCCGTTCATGCTGTTTGCATGGAGGTAGTAATTGTTTGCAAATGTTGGTCCCAAATAAATTCATCTCAAGAACTGCTGCGAGCTGTTAAGCCCATCGATTGCTGACTGCTGCTTTTTAAAATCCATACTTTCTTCAGTAGCTTGGTTTCACAACACTTTCAGTGAGTTTCAGTTTTTACTTGTTCCTGCATCCGTACGTTAGAGGATAGTATCTCGATGCTGACAAACATCTCCAGCTGCAATTCAGTCCACGAGCAAGGTGGAGTTGAAGTGGCTTCTGGTTCATGTCGCTGGCAGCGCATTTGGGCTAGCCGTATTGCCACACAATACATTTGTGTCAGACTGGAGTAGCCTTAAGCACTATGGATAAGGCGTTTTATAACAAAACATAAAATGTCATAAACCACTGACTTTTCATCTGCCTTCCTTCTGCTTACAGCCTCGAAACGCCTTCACGTACAGCAAAGGTGAGTGTGATTCAGTTTACCATTCATTGTGGGTCGCTGATTTTGAACGTTCACTTCACAATGGGATTGTCACAATTGTTTACTTTTGTACTGGCTCTGAAACGCTACCCAATCAACTGTTAAGATGGTTAACCCTATTAGGATGTTACTAAATTCAAATAGAAAGTTAGATCGTCATTTCGTTCTGTTAGCAATCCTAGTTTCACTCATGCTTCTTCCATCTGTAAGGGCTTTGAATCGCTGGTTATCTGCTGTCATATGGTGTAAACGACAATTAGCTTGTAAGTCTTGAGTGAACGCGTTTCCACCACTTTTAACAAAACCACAAAGGAAAGGGAATACGGTACTTTTACAAATAATTAAAAACAACTATGTACAAAACCTCAATAAGCTGTGCTTCTGAGACAGGCGTATCAAGCAACGACAACAATCCAAGATAGCCAGCAAGCTGAAAATCAAGTTCACGTAGAATAGGCTCGTCTCAATGTACTGTGGCTTTAATAGGCTTACACACGATCACTCGGAAAGGGAGGTTGCCGTGTAATGTTGTCGTTCAGCCAGTGACTTACACACACACCGTGATGGTATTGCAAGTGTGGCAACTGCACATGGAGTAGCATTTTAAGTTTTCTTTGAGGACGACGTGGTTTTATGTATCTGAACTCTACTCACATGATCTCGCAACACCGTCAGATCAAATGCGATGTAACGAAGGTCTTGCTCGCCAGTATCCGAACGCCACGGCAAGGGGGTTAAAACGGAACTTCCCAAGCTGCTAACATGAGGGGAACAATGAAGAATGAACAATGATTTATAACGGGTACAAAAGCAGGTGCTTGACATGTCCCGTAGGGTGTTTGGCGTGACAAAAAGATAGATCTAGGGATAATGGAATCGTCAGTTTGGGCGAGTACAGATTTAACTGCACTGTCGTATAAAAGGAGTTTGAAATGAGGATGTATGCACACAGGGCAATAAGGGGAGTGGTTATTAATCACGTGATAGGCGAGAAAAAATAAAAAAACAGCAAGGGCAACGCTTACCCGTGTGGAACTAGCATGGGTCGACGGGATACAGAAATCCAGCTTCTATAGTATTAGCGTGTATCAAAATTTTGCAACGGGTTTGGAGCGACTCAATCTCGAGTAGGGTTATGCCACTATCCACTGACTGTTGTGCATTAGTGCCAGCATCTGGTGGTAGTGTAAATGTAGTAGTGTAAATGTAAATATAGTGTAAATGTGACAGAGTATTGTCAAGGGGTATTTTTAAAGGTATAGGGTGGGTGCATTAATTACATGTTCCGGGAGGGCGTTCCAAGGCTGTGACACTCGAATGGAGAAATAGTTTCGCCGACATTCCAGGCAGCTGTACTGCGTGACTAACTTAAACTGGTGACCTCTTAGCGAGGTGTTTTGAGTGAGTATTAGAAGGGAATGGTATGGGTGGTTGGGGTTTCTCAGGATCTGGTGGTACACCATTATGAGATCGCCCCTTAGACGCCGAGAACGTCCACTGTATATTTTGAGAGTTTTCAGCCTGAATGGGTAGGGGAGGCTGGTCCAACCTCTGATGCTCTTCGTTGCCCTACGTTATGCAGTATCGAGCGCCACGAGATGGTGCTTGAGCCAGGGTTGCCACGCTTGGATAGCGTATTTTGCGTACGGCCTCACGTATGCACTAAGCATTCTTGGAAAGACTGAAGGTTTAAGCTTCCTGAAAGCTATGCGAAGAAGGCCGAGGTACTGGTTCGCTTTCTTAGCTGCCTTTTCAGCCCGCCTCAAATAACCGAGGTCATCTTGAACTAGCACGCCGAGATCGCACTCTTGAGAAGCCCGCTGTGGAATTCGTGGTCTTAGGCGGTACTTGTGCACACTCTTGTGCCGTATGTTGAGAACTTTGCACTTGGTGACGTTGAAATGCAGCATGTCCTCCATGGACCATGTGTACGCTTTGTCCATGTCCTCCTGTAAGACCGTGTGATCCTCCACTGCAGCTATAGTACGCTATACCCTTAGATTATCAGCAAATAGCAAGCAGATAGCAGATAGCACGCTCGCGAAATCATTTATTAAAACCAGGAACAGGTAGGGTCCAAGTATCGAGCCTTGAGGTACGCCGCACTGAAATTCGATAGATTCTGACACGTTGCTTCGAACCCTCACATTCAGGTGACGTTGTACGAGAAAGTCTGCTATCCAGTCCAGAACAGGCTCGCCGATTCCATATTTCTGGAGTTTGTAGAGGAGATTGACAAGTCTATACGATCGAATGCCTTTGAGAAATCCAAGTAGACCGCGTCGACTCCTACATCAGCGTCCACAGATTCCATCCAGCTTGCATGGGCAATCAACATATTAGTGGTACAGGAGAGATTTTGGCGAAATCCGTGTTTCTCCCGAACAAGAATTTTGTTGTTGTCCAGGTACCCCATTAAAGCCTCAGCTACATTGGACACCGTGACCTTAGAGATCACAGGAAGTAGTGTTATCGGGTGATAATTTGCTGGTTCAGCACGACTGCCACTTTGGTAGATTGGCGTGATGCTTCCGTGCTTCCACACCGTGGGGACGTGCATCTCGTTCATACATCGTTGAAAGAAAATTGCTAGTGGTCGTGCCAAACTCATGGCAGCAAATTTCAACGCCTTCGGGCGAATGCCACATGAAGCGACAATTAGATCCGTTCAGAATTTAGAAATATATATCAATGCAGTCATGGTTGAAAGCAGGTCACCTATGTGTTTAAGGTGCAAATAAACTTAATTAACATTGCACCGGACACAAACTTTATTGAGAGCCAGATACTAAAGACCGGTTGGGACATGGAAAGGAACTGGGAAACGGTACAGGGAATCACAACCATGAGGCAGGGAGCGGTAAGTAGGTGGCTTTGGATAGGACATTTGGGAATCTTCTGCATATGGTCTTTTATCCACAACTCAAAAGTGAAGTCATGGACGAGATGGACGAAACAAATATAGGCTAAACCTTTGCGCTACTTTCGTGCCGTCGAACCAGCGAACGCGAGAAACCATTTACGCATAACTTGATATGTTTGTTCACACTTTTACCGAAGCTAGCGGTAGTTAGGTACTCTTGGGTATGGACTGGAAGCAAGACGATTGCAGCATTTCCCTTATTACTTGAAATACACTGTACACGCTACCGAGCAGCTAGTGCTTGGCGGTAGCTTTATGACACCAACTTGCAGGTAATGTTTCACCTCTATGGATTTGGAAAATACCGTCCGTATTTATCATGTGATTCAGAACTACAGAATCCAGAAACGAAGTAAAATAAAACCATCTGAGACTACATTGTGAAGTAAGCTTGAAACAAACAGTATGTTTCCAACCTGTGGGCTCTTACGGACGAAAAATGCATCTACCATATCCAAAAACGATATTACTAAACTGCTTATGCAGTTCGCAAGTGGTTTTCAAATGGTGTCTTAGTTTTACTATTCCACCCTGTTCAGCAGTGCCACGATAGTAAGCTTCACATAGATATTAAAATTAACCCAATCAGACAATGTGCTTATACGGTAAGTTGATTATAATCATATCACAATCTCCTGTTGCCAGCTAATCGAGACAGTTTCTTCATGCGGCAAATCTCAATGTCATACTAGATTTGGTCGTTGAATCCTGTTCAATAGGAAGGCAGTATTGTCTCAAGCCGTTTCCTGTTACTCCACCTCTCATGTTTGGTCTGAGAAGTCTATGTTTTCCAGTTTCCGTAAGCTTGGTTATCATCGCAGCGTCAAACAAAGCCACTATACCGAATAGTTTCTTACTAACCAGACTCGACAGACGGCTTCATCACTAAAGCAAAATTTGTCGCATGAGTGGCTGTTATAATTTCAGCGAATTTAAACAAAGCGTGCATCCGACGTGATTAATGCCTGGCTTTGTGCTGTTTCAATCACGGTTTCTTCATAAGATATAGTTCAGTAAGTAAAGCAGCTGAGAGCTCGTGAAGCAGAGTAACCCGAGAAGGTTACAATTTAGATCAGCTGTGATCAGTAAAAGGTACCCGACATTTTTCTTTTTACATGACTAACATTCTGATTCATGAACTACCGTTTCTTCGATTACTATGCTAGTTGTTACGAAACCGATAATTAGCTGTTTAATTTGTTACTCGAAATCAAAAATCCCTGGTGTTTAAGCTCAGCTGCTCTTCTATGTGGTACCGCATTGAGGTGGAAGATGATCCATCATAAAAAGAAAAAGTGGAACATTGTGGTTTTATGGGGAGAAAACAAAAGGTTAAAAAGATGCGCCAAATAGGCAGAATGAAAAGCACAATCTTGGTAAAAAGGAAACAAAATGATAAAATGAAAATAAGTTTGGCGGCCATACCATAGTGTTCACCCAGAGAGGCATGCATAAAAGAATCAACCTAGATGGTGTACGTTGCTTCCGGTTGTTATACGTTCGTCATATTATCTCATCTGCTGAATTATACAGACTCTACCTCATACTGTAGGTGGTTAAGAACGAAATGAAGAACTTTTTGTTCGTCGCAATCAGCCGACAATTCAGATATGTCGACCAGCTGTTCGGAAAAGCACCAGACAGCCGTTTCGCCCTATTGGGGCTCATCAGTGGTGCGCATCCTTCGGTCCTCTGCGGAGGATCGAACCCATGACTGCTAGTGGCTCTTGCCAACTAGCCCGCTGCTTATGCAACTGCGCCATGGAGGACGGTATCTGATTATCGTGAATTGTTAGCTAAATGCGATATAGCCCGACGCATCCTCCACTGCCATGCAGGCACCTGCCATGCAGATGACATCGGTCAGCCAACCGACGTCAGGACTTCCCGGTTACGGCAGCTATGAAACGACATAGCATTTTGTGGAATCCGTACGGGCGAATTGGTCGACATATCTGAATTGTCGGCTGATGGCGACGAACATAAATACTCACCAAAATCCTTCCATTCATAAGAAATGAAGACCTCTTTAAACACAGATAACTTAAGGGTGGAAACA